TGTCCCGAGCTCATCCTGAGTTTTTTGTGGATTTGCACTCTTGGGGTGGACGCCCCCTAAATCGCCGCATGAACAAGCATCAGGTTCCGTCTTTGCCTAAAGTGCTGCAGTCTGGACATGACTTGACACCTGTTTCGCTGCTCGATGTCACTTTTGCTGATGACACCTCTCTTCTTTGTCGGGAGGCTGGCAGATCACAGCTTGAAGACTTGCTTACCAACACTTTACATGAGTTTGGGGAAACCATCAAAGCCGGCAAAACAAAACGCCTCAAAGTTGCACGGGGGGATGCCTTATGGCAGCCAAAGCAGCTTTGGTGTAGACTCAGTCGACAGCTTCCGAGGTTCGGTCTGCCCCCCAAAATTTTAGGTCAACTCATCTATGCCAGAGTGCTCAGAGCGCTCTTGTTTGGTACCGAGTCTAGATGTGTCTGTGGCACCACTATGCGTAAGTGGCAGTGTTTTCTTAATGGAATTGCGCGTTTTGCATGCAGGCAAAAGCTTCGAACCATGCAGGAGGACCATGTGACGCAACAAGATCTAAGTAACCAATTAGGACTCAAGAAAATCGCCACATATGTAGGTTCCGGACAATTGGCATATCTTGGACACCTTGCTCGCCTCCCTGAGGGTCGCATCGAAAAGCAGATGTTGTTTTCTTGGCTTCCCCGCGAGGCCATGTTTGCGTCCTTTAAGGGGGGCTATCTCTTCCCGTCAGACTTTCTGGAAGCGCCTTCAGGAGTTGTTGGCTCTCTCGGATCTTCCTGAGGCCCAGTGGCAAGAAGGCTGGGTCGCTCTGGCAGCAAAACAAGGAGGTGTTGTTTGGAACGCCTTGATTCGCAAGTGGGTTCGCTGGCAGGAATCCTTAGCTCAGCAAGATACCTGGAATGCTCGCCACACAGACGCTGCGCGCCAAGGGCGTCAGCAAGCTGCTTACGACAGAGCCTTTCAAGAGTTAGGTGTACATAGGCTTCCTTGTGGTAGGTACAAGTGTGGTTACGAGGGTTGTTCCATCGTACAAACCTTGCAGGGCTGCGACAGCACACTGCTGTTTGTAAGAACTTGAGTGTAGCACAGAGACAAACACGTTCGGATGCTGCTGCGGCTTCTGGACAAGCCGCACCCTCCCGACCTGCGGCTGCACCTTTGGATCTTGCACCCACGGGTCCTCGAACTCGTTTGCTGAGCAAGCAGGCACGTCCAGTTGCCTTTGAAAAAACCGCTTGCCAGGCCACTGTGCATGATGTGACCGCATGTACTTCCTTTGACATCAGCCACTTTGGATCATTATGCCTCACAGCACATGACACGCAGATATCGTGGTGCTCAGTTGCAGCGAGCCATTACGCTGACTGACTTGCCACCCCCACACGCCGATGAATCGCTGCACTCGAATCAATGCCGATTTTGCTGGAAACATCTCAAGTCAGGCCCAAAACGGGTCAAGCACAGCCGCTGTTGCCCAGCCATGCCATATGACGGCTGGCTCTTTCGGGTTCGGGTCACCTTGTTGCCCCAAACGCCTCGCACTTTTCCACGCACACATTGCGGTACGCAGTTCAGTGTCCCTAAAGCTGCGGGCAGGCATTCGGTCGAATGCGGAAAAAGGCGGCAGCGCCAACACTTGCCTTGCCCCTAAATCTCAAGCAGTGGCACGACCTGCCACAGGAGCCTACTTGTTAGCCCTGCTTTGTGCATTCTCGGTTTGCAGCATTAGATGTCACTCCCCCTTTGTTAGTTGATTGTTTTCTTTGACATGCAAGTGAAGATTCATTCTGTTTTTGGGCCATGTCGGCGCAAGCTGTTTGTGGCCTGCCCTTTTATTTTCCCTTCTGAGTTACACAGAGCACCATGGCTAGTGCCTTGGATATCCTCAAGAAAGCCCAAAGCCCAGCTCGAGGCTCAGCAAGCGTCCCAGATCCGCTGCTCCTGCCTCTTCAGCTGCCTCTAGCCACGAGATGACTGCTGTCATCGAGCGCGTCGTGCAATTGAGCCTTTCCAACGCCGAAAAAACAGAGGCCGTCGCAAGCGCCACGAATTTGGTTCTGCTTGTGAAACGGGAATCCGATGTCCAACAGCTTCAGGCCCAGGCCACTCTCTGGGTGAACACCAAGCCAGACTGGCGGCCGGGTGCTACGGACAACCGTCCCCATGAACTAGGGGAAAAGCGGGTCTTTATGCTGTTGGTGCTTCTCCAAATGATGCAGGATGACAACACTTTGGAGGGCGAACCGGTCAAAACAGCTATTCAGCATCTCCTCTCTTTGCCTCCCAGCGACCTTTCGCGCTGGATTGGATCCTTCAAACCTCGCTATGCGGAACCCAAGAGTGGACGTGCTTGGGTCTGGGAGCTCTCTTGTTCGAGTTTGCTGCCGGAAGAAACCCGCTCGGCCCTTGACACACTATGCAAGACCATTGACAGCTCTCGTTGGAAGGTTGCCCCTCACCGCTGGGGCCAAACCGGCCTTCAGAAAGCTGTGTGGGAGGACCTGCGGAAACTGTCCAGCTCACGCCAAGGGGCGTGAAAGGTCAGCTGGCGGTGCTTCTACTTGTTTTGCATGACGAATTGGGCGCAGAGATCGCAAGCCTTTGGATCGGATCGATTTGAGGTTTCTTGCACGGCCTTCTTCTTCGGCTTGAAGAGATGACTATTTCTGTGCATTTTTCTCCCGTCGCAAAGCCGGGATTGTTGCGAGCTCTCGGATCGACGGCAGCTACAGTTCTGGCTGATTTTTTGCTTGCTACACCTTTTTCTCTACGGCTACGGTGCTGGACGTCTGGCTTATACCTTGATGTCCCTCCTGGCAGCTGCGTGAGCTCTTCCTTGGCTTGAGGAGTGCTCACCTCGGTGGCTCTTTGTGTTTGGCAGGAGCTCCTTTGTGTTTATTGATGTTTTGCAGCAGCTCTTCTGTGGCGAAGCAACCTGCTGTCGAAACGGTCGGCAGCAGGAACGTGATCCCACGGACACCGATGGGATCTTCGCTCCTGGCACGGGCTATTTTTTTTGTGGATTCTCTTTCACGACTTCAGGTGTTGGCCCTCATGGGCCTGCGCAACCACCTTCTATGGGTTTTGTGCCAGGAAGCCTCACGAGCCCGTGTATATAAGTACCGTCGTTTTGTGCCACTTTGAAGCCTCCAAGCGCCGAAAAATTCATTTCCGCAACCAAAAAACCTGCAAATAGCGTGGTTTGAGGCCACTCTTGAAGACAGGAGGAGCTGAAAACACTAGTATTTACGGTGTTTTGTGGCCACTTTGAAGCGTACATAGCCCAAAACCATCACAATTTATATACAGGATTTTGTGCCGGGAAGGCGCACAAGCCCATGTAAATACCGTCGTTTCGTGCCACTTAGAAGCCTCCAAACGCCGAAAAAAACCTTTCCGACAAAATATTTCCATGCTTTTTGCAATGTTTCGACCATTTTTGAAGGCTAGACACTTCAAAAACAATCGGTTTTAACGAGGTTTTTGGCCGGACAGCCACAGAAAACCCTGTAAATTGCGTGGTTTGAGGCCACTCTTGCAGACTGGAGGAGCTGAAAACACTGGTATTTACGGTGTTTTGTAGCCGTTCACAAAGAGCTGCGCCAGGGTGGAGTTGAAAGGGGGGAGGGGGGCCCCCCCGGCCTCTAAAATGAAATGTCGGAGGGCGATTCTCAGTGAGATGGGTGTCCACTCTGGTTATGATTTATTGTTGCTAAAGCAAAAGGAAAACTCAGGTAGCGTAACCGCTACCTTTCGTGATTACACCGGCATAGACCCCAGATAGCAACTGACTCTCAAAACGGAGGCACATCTTTTCCTCTTGACTCTTAAACTCTTAACCTAGCAGCAAACCCATGAAAGTTGGCAGGAGGAGCATCATCGAATTCACGACAAGTGCGAAGACAAAGAAGCAGCGGCAGACAAAGTGCAAATCACAGAAGCAAACAAGTGGGGAGACAAGTGAGGAAATATGTCGGGAGACAGGTGGGAAGACAAGGAAGGAGACAAGCGGGGAGACAAGGAAGCAGTGGCAGCGGTGGACCAAAACGCAAATCAGCCACCCAGTCATTCAAAAGTTAGAACCCCTATAACTTCCAGCTATCTCGTCCGGAGGCAGCAGCGGCACACAAACGCCGTTCACGCAGGCAGATAAGTGGCGAGACATGTAAGGAGACAAGTGGAGAGACAAGGCAGAAATGGCAGCGGTAAACCAAAACGCCGGTCAAGCACTAAATCATTGACAAGTAAAAACAACCCCTATAGCTTTTAGCTATCTGGCTGGCGACAACCTCCTCGAACCGGCGTTCAACAAACACTGGACATTCCACAAAAGCGGAACCAAAACGACTTTGCTGGCATGGATTATGCCCTGACCCCCGAAGTTGTAGAAGGCGGGTCCTGAACCAATCTGTGTCTCCCAAGGCAACCGATGAGCGGAGAAAAATGACACCTGGTCACCAACCCCGGCACCTGCCAAAACGTAGACGACGTAGAACACTCACGACAAATCACCAATGTTGGGCACATGATGGCACATGTGTGTTTTTAGTCGAAGACCGGGAAACTTCACCGTCGGATTCGTGAACACAACCAGAGTGCCTACATACGGTTTACAAGACCAAACCTGCCTGGACACCCATCGCTGTCAGCTTCCGGATCATAAGGGGTGAACATTGGAGGAATTTCGATTGTTCAGTGGCACGCCTAGGTTGAACCGCTACGCAAAGCTTTAAGGCAAAATGTATGGCAAACATGGACAAACCATTTCCATCTCCTGCAATGGACTTGTCAGCGGCCCTGGGATCAGACCAAGAAAGTAAGCATGTTACACACCTTGATGGCCCATAGCCATTGTCACAACCATCTCCATCCATCCATCCATGTTTGCACTTCTTTCATTTTGCTTCAAGAACCGCTTGCATGTCGAGCCACGCTTCAATTTCCTGTCTCAGCATCTAAGCGGTGGTCTGCTCTGACGTGCAGTTAACTTCTTGTGATGCACTGCCCGAAACTCTAGCTGTCCAAAGGCAAGTCCTCATTCTTCTGCAAATCCCGTGCGTGAGTAAAATACTTCTTCTCTATGACTCCACTGATGCCAGGGCTTAGAATCACTCTGTTGGTGCTTAGGAAAAAGGGCACTCCGTCTTCGATGGCTCTCTTCAAGTCGATCCAAATGGCAATCTCACAGTCATAGCGCATGCCAGAGATCACTCGTTTGTCCCCTGGGTTGAAGGACGAGAAGTGCACGTGGTTGCGGAAGCTTTGGCCTTTGCGGCCACCAGCCAATAGCCCTTTGGCCTTGATGCTCTCAAAGTACTTCCGATAAGTCCCATGGACGCAGCAGTCAGGCAAGTTCTTCAAATCCACATTCTGGAGGAGTTGGTCGTCATCTACGACCTTCATTGAATGTCCTTGCACTGCTCTAATCATGTGACCATCTTCCTTATCCTCCTTGAGCTCGAAGCGTTTCTTATCATTTCCTGCTACGATTCTTTCAACGTCAGCCTGAGTTGTGTTCAAGCTTGATAGCAAAGGGCACGCCAAGACCTCCTGCAATAAGCAATATCCATCAGGTCGGACCTCAATATCAAAGTCTAAGGCTGAGTGGCGCAAAAGCAGCGACAGAGTCTTGGACATCTTCCGCTCTCGACCCGAACCGCTCTCGGTCCGATTCTCAGCCCTCGTGGGCCTCCGGTTCTCCGCCTGCGAAGTCCCGAGAGTGAGCCGAATCGGTCGCAGCTGCACCACACAGAGACCAAGTCTCTCCAAATCAGCAAGCTCCATGGCCAGAAAAAGGCGGTGTCACGAATGCGAAGTACATACAAGTGAAATAAGACCCTGACTTGGTGGCACGTCCAGATTGTAGGGTAGAAGATGGTAGAAGGGCAAACCTGGAACCCTGGTTCTAAACAAAAACGTGAAATATTGTACTTGTGTAACATGTCTTTGCATTGCATGACGTAGTTGTTCCAGCTGCCAAGTCTTGGCCCTCTGCATGTCCCAGGGATGTCGCTGGTGGCTGGCATCGGTGGCGCGGCCGATGCGGTGCACTGAAACAAGCACTCAAACAAAAAAAACGGATCAGGTTGCACCCGCAGTGCGCTGTCGCCGCCGTTTGCGCCTTGGAGCAACACACACTGCCGCCCCTCTGGCAGCTCTCTCCGGCTTTCCGAGGGAAAACGATAAGAGCCGTTTGCACGTCCATTTGCTTGTGGCCGTCGCCAAAGGGCCACCCAAAACTGACAGGTGGCCCTGACAATGTGGCCTCCACCTGGTGGAACAGTATCTTCCAAAACCTCGTTCTTTATGTGACATTTGTGCCGACACTCTTGAAGTCCAACTGTGGCAAGGACTTAGCATTCAATGCTGGCAGCTGCAGTCGTCAAGGTCCACGAGAGATGATAGAAATCTGCTGCATACATATTTCCTGGAGGTTGATCCAAGTGCAGTGCACCCAAAACAATTGAAGAAGGGACCCAATTAACATCGGAATAACATATGTATCTGTATATCCAAGTTGTTTCTACACTGTTATATAACTATATACTGTTCTCGGCCGTGGCCTATGCCTTGTGTATCCTTGTGTCAGGGGACAATAAGATCAGCAGTCTGATGCCTTCACAACAACAAATCCTACACACCAAAACACGAGAGCCACAGCATCTGCTCCGGAAAGTTCTTCCTTCAAAACAAGCATGTTCCTTGAACAGTACAGGCCACGGGAGTTGTCCTGAATAGAGGGGGGCATCGGTTGGAAAAACATCTCTTTCAACGTCCTCAGACTTGATAAGAATGCTCCTAGTAGCGATGCCAGGAGCCCCTAGTAGCGTCCTTGCTCCTAGTAGCGAGGCCCCTCTGCTGAGATCTTTTTCCATGAATCATCCATTGTTTCACCACTAGGGTGCACATGCCACGCCTGTCCTTCACTTGCCAAATGTAGGGCCCTGCCATCCTGGCACCCTGGGACGCTCTGTCATTCTTTTTGCGATTGTCCCTGCCTTCAGCACCATTCTAGCAGCTTGTGAAGGAAACTGTCCAGTTTCAGAAAAGTTGCGGCTACGCATGTCACAACACATTTCAGAAACTCGCATGCCTCTATCCCCGGCCTCCAGATCTGGTTCCGGTGGGTGTTGTTTGCTCATAAGCTTTGATATGTGCTGCTAGCAAACATGGAATATTCGTTGCGAAGGGTGTAGAGTATGGATTGTCTGTGACCGTGTCGAGTCAATTGAGACAAGTTACGCGACCTCAAACATCTGCAAACTGATGTAAAACAATGGCCCGTTGAATGCGTTTGAGCTCCTCTCTTCCAAGGGAAAGACAGCTGAATTGAGATTCCCTGAAAAATCAAACAGATCACACGCGTCTGAAGCATCTACTGTAAATGTGCCATGTGCAGCAGAACCGTTCTAAGATGTTCAGCAGAGTTGACTCGGATGGGCAAATCCTCGGCCATCCGAGGCATCAGAGTCCCGAACTGTCCCGTCCTCACTGTCCCGAACTGTCAATGTTTGTCCTTCGGAGTGAAGCGGTGTCTCTCCACCAGTATGCGAAGCATTGATGGTCACTCCCATGGTATTTCTACCAGACTCGACTGGAGAGCACACATACGTCATGTTTGGTGCGAGCTGGTAGGATGATGGATGGTGTAGGATGTGGTCAAAAGTTGCCGAATTCATCATCTCACATCCTTGGATTTGATTGACGATCAAATATTTTACATCATCTTACTCCCTCACTTCAGCATGCTGTGGCCGGGTGGTTGCTCAGCTGCACTGCTAGGCCAGGTGAAGGCCCTGGGCCAGTGTTCGCTGCGCTGGGGCCGCTCTGGTGCCAAGGCCCTTGATCAGGCTCTGCTCAATGGAGACATGCTTCCTTGTTACTAGTAGTAAGGCCAGGAGCTACTAGTAGCGTCCTTGCTCCTAGTAGTAGCGTCCTCGCTCCTAGTAGCGATGCCCTTTGCTTCTCTGCATGAGAAGCACGCATTGTCCATTGAAGTGGTTCGCAACAAAGGCACCGACACCAATGCACGATATTGCACGATCGCATATTAGTTCGTGACTGCCACGGGGTAGGAAGCTGCCCTAGCTACCCTATGCTACCCTAGCTACTCTATGCATGCGTCCATTGAGCAGCGGACTGGTCCCTCAAGCTGCGCTCTGAAGGATGCCTTTGACCACTTCAGTTGGCACGGCAAGGCGGCTTGGGACGAGTAGCTTCGAAGCAAGCTGTGGATGTTTGAACTCGCCCAACCCATTTGCACGGCATGGATGATAAAGAATGACAAAGGAAACCCTGGGTTTTGATGGGTCCCATTCTATATTTGTGGGTGGGAGTGCCGTTTTGATCGTTTTGTTGAGGAAGCATCCCGTTTGCTTGCCCCTCACCCAGTTTAATCCAGCGGTGTTTCTGACCCGGGTAGACGCAAGGGCTTTGCCACTTGCTCATGTCTGCGTTTGTTGCTTCACAAGCGAGCAGCGCCAACAAAAACCTTACCAAGCTACTGTCTGCACTGAGACTGATTGAACTGATTGAAACCAAGGTTGAATCCATGTGGCACAAGTCGAACAAATCGAACATATCTCCATCACCCTAGCTTGTCCGAGTTGGTCACGTACTTACCAGGTTCATTGCAAACCCCAGCGTTCGAAGATTTGATTGAGTTCACCATGATTGAGTTCACGATGATGATGATGATGATGATGATGATGATGATGATGATGATGATGATGATGATGATGATG